GGGCTACCAAACAAGACCCCCTTGCAGCACCTGTTCAGCAAGTCTATACAAACTCCAAAGACCTGTTGATGAGCAATGGGGCAATCACTGGGGCTGGGTGTCATGGGACAGACCCACCACCATGGCACCTCCAGCCGGTAACCCTGGGGTTTAGCTCGTTGACTCACTGGACACCTCCCTCTAGTCGGTGTCACCCCGTGTTCTCATTTCCCTCTCGACTCCAGACCCATGTCATTCCTGGACCACGACGTCCTCTTCAGGACACTGCCCTCCAGCAGTGCCCACTCCAGTGTCTCTGAGCCCCCCTTCCAGCGGTAGAGGTTTATCCAGCTTTGTACTCCAAAGTCCTCCCCAAGGAACACCCAGTTCCCCTGCACCCACCTTGCCTCAGTGGCCCTCTGCCAGTCTTCCTCTAGCCCCTGCCTCAGGGGCAAACCACCTTGGCTGCGTCTAGAAAGGCAAGTTATTCCTCAAAAGCAGCTGCTTTTACAGAAAAACTTGCCAACTGTCTACACTGGCCGCTTGAATTTCTGCAAGAACACTGACCATCTCATGTAAGATTGTCAGTGTTCTTGCAGAAATACTATGCTCCCGTTCGGGAAAAAGCCCTCTTGCGCAAAAGCATTTGCACAAGAGGGCCAGTGTAGACAACGCAGTATTGTTTTGCGCAAAAAAGCCTCGATCACAAAAATGGCGATTGGAGCTTTCTTGTGCAAAACCGCATCTAGATTGACACGGACGCTTTTCCGCAAAAAATGCTTTTGCGGAAAGCCGTCCGTGCCAATCTAGACGCTCTTTTCCACAAATGCTTTTAACGGAAAAACTTTTCCGTTAAAAGCATTTGCGGAAAATCATGCCAGTCTAGACGTAGCCCCTGTGTAATGGCCACTCATCACTAGCAAAGGAGTGTGGATCTACTGCCTTTGCCTGCCATGGCTGCCCCTCAGCAGCCTTAGTGGTTTCAGGCCTTGCTTCAGGCCCTGCAGCCTAGGAACTAGCTAGCCAGAGCTTCTCCGGCCCGGCCTGGCAACCAGGTCTCTCCTGCTCTCTATTCAGAGCAGCAGTAAGTTCTCCTCACCCTCCAGCAGTCCTTCTTTATATAGCCCACAGAGGGGCCCTCATTAGCAGAACTGCCTCAGCTGGGGCTTCACTCTCAGCCCTCACTCAGGGCTGGGTTTTTGCCCTTAAAGGGCCAGTGCAGGGCAAGCACCCTGTCACACTGCATAAGTGTTGTTCCTAAGCCCACAGTCCTGCTTCCCCGACAAGCCCCTGACCCAGAGTCTCCCCCGGTGCTACTGCTTGTTGTCTTCTTGGGAGAAGGCCAGCTGGTCTGCTACCCTGCTCTCCTCCAGTCCTTAAAGTGTAGGAGAGGACACTGCAAGGGACCCCAGATCTGGCATAATCGGCTTTGGTCCAGGATGCTGCAGCAGTCTGTACAGTGGGGGTGCTGGGAGCCATTGAACCAAACTGCAAACCCTGGATATGATGGAAACCATTTCAAAGCATGGTGGCGGGGCAGCAGCATCCCCAGCAGTGGAGGTGCGCTCCTAGTTCCAGCACCAATAGATGGGTTGCTGCTGAGAGGAGATGATCCCAGGTTATGCTAGACCCTCACACTTTTTTCAGACCACAGTAAGCATTGCTGGTGCTTCTGTAGTGCATGCAGAGGAAGGCCTGTCCCCACTCTGCAGTGATCACAAGGGCCATCTTCACTGGGCTAGGAAGAGACTCCCCTTCCTCTCTCTTCCCCCGCACCTCAAAATGGTTCTCTCCAGACCCCTTTGCCTGGCAGGGGGAGGCATGACCCACCTTCACTGCTCAGCACAGTGGCTCCTAGTGGTGGGACAGAGGCATTGTGATCTATTTGGAGCTGCAGCAGCCGCAGGCTCCAGGACCGCAAACCCTTTGGACTTCTTTGTAAAGACTGGTCCAGCCCTGGCCTACAGACCATCCAAACGAGCACAGGGGTTAGGAACTAGCTACAGAGCCTGTCACTGGTTTGAAAGGGTCCAGTTCAACAATAACTGACCTCACACTATTTAATAAAAGCATGTGCAGGGCATATTACTCAGCTCTGCCAGAGCCCTGTTCATCTTGGTATCTCAAAGCACTTTACATCGGAAGGCAAGGCTCATTATCTCCATTTGCGATACAGCTTTTCTTGAATTGACCTGACACTGGTTCAACTATCAGAAGTCAAAATAATCCCAAAGCTAAGTGCCAAGGCAGGCTTCTGGCAAGCCCCTCTTGCAAAAGAATCTATCCTATCAAATGCAGCCAGTGACACCTCTCGAAATCCCTGATTTCACTGGTACCCAGCGCCACATCTTCAACACTGGAACATTTTCTCTCTAACTGTAACTGGATTGTCCAGACTCCTAAATGAGAGGATGTGGGAAATGCAGTCAAACAAAATAAAGGAACAAGATGACAGCTAAGTCAAAAACCACAGATGAGTGGAAGGGGAAGAGCCAAATCTAAAGCCAAAGAAACTGGTCTAAAAGAAAAAGGGAAAGGGGAAGCCTAAAGCCAAAGGGAAGAAAAGGAGAAAAGAAACCCAGAGACGAAAAAGGCCAAAGCCTAGAAGTCAAAGGATAACATCCTGACTCCACTGAAGTCAATGGCTAAACTCCCATTGGCTTCAATGAGTCAGGGCTTTCACCCCAAAAGTTCTGGGTGCTAACAAAGATCCAGATGACTAGGAGGCAGAATAACCCACCTCAGCAAGCACAGAGGTTCAAGCAGTCTGCCCTGTTCACCACTTAAAGTAAAAAAGTTAGGCCTCCTTGGGCTTATCAGTATTTATGAGTGTTACTGAAGTTACACGTGGAGATGCTCTGGAAGATACTGTAAGAGCACAGGCTAGGTTTCCTTACGCTTGGAAGCATAACTCTGTATCACTTCTGCGTTATGTCTGACACAGGTAACTACGCAAGACCTTTCTGTGCCCCCCAGTTTCTACCATCACCACAGCACTTAGCTAGAGAGAATGATCTTGGGGTTTAAGGCAACAGCCCTAAACTCAAGAGCACTGGATTCTGTCCCCAACTCTGTCACAAATATCCCGGATGAGTCGCTTAATTTCTGTGCCTCCACAAATGGGACTAAATCTACTCCTACCCCGGTCTGTCCTGTCTGTTTAGAGTGCACGTGACTGCCCCTTATTACATGTATGTAGAGCACGTGGCACAATAGGAAGCCGATTTAATGTTAACCTGAGCCACAGAGATTTGCAGAAGCAACAACATTGGCACCATGAAGATTTAGCAGCTTGATGCAGCATGTAGTGCAGAGGGTATGACTCTGAAAACAAAAATGAAGTAAAACAAAACAAATTCAAGCCAGAATAAAAAAGAGTTTCTGTTGAGCAGGACTACCTCTGCACGGGACGTGCTCATGAGCACGAACCAAAGAATTGCCCTGCATTGGTTCATATTCAGTGGGAGGAAAGCTCATTTTTCAAAGCCATGTCGCACAGTTAAAAGGCTAGAATGTACGTTTGGAGAACAGCAATGCAGAGATCCATAGCTTTTTGGAGGTAGAGTGACTTCAGCACAAACTGCTTCATGTTGGCAAATACACCTAAACATTAATAAGGGCAGAGCTGGCTGTGGGTTCATGAAGCAGTGTAATTCCAATGGAAAGGCATAGTATTGTAGTTAATGAAACAGTGCTGCTATTTAAAGCAAAACATATTTCATATTCTGCACATAACTACCGGTGCAAGGGCAAGTAACTATTAGATATTGATTTAAACAGCCATATCTCTGACTTTCTGAAGAACAAATGTAGATATACCCACAATGTAGATGTATTGCCAACCCCACACATTCCACATTCATGAATCAGGCCTGAAAATCATAAGATTGGCTTTAAACTAAATACATTTTTAAAAACAATAAATAGTAGGGTCTTTGTATCTGTCTTTGTTTCTTCACTTGGGCTACATCTGCTTTTCTCCACTAGCATAAGACCCAGAAACAGGCTTTTTTTTAAAGATGAAAGCTGAGAGTCGCATGTAATCACCTAACTCCAGGAGCTGGGGCTTTAAGAAAAAACACAGTAACATAATGCAACCTGCTGTAAAATCATGGGACTTAGCAACAGTGACTGACACCCAAGATTAAAAATCCATGTAGATAGTGAAATTTACTAAAAAGGTGTTTGCAGCAAAAGGCACAGACTCACAGAGAGGGCACAGGCAGCATAATAGCAGAATTCTCAAATATCTTCCAAGATCTAATTTAACTGGGTGGAGAAAACACATTAAGATAGAGAAACCTGAAACTGCAGCTATCCATCCATCAAGGAAACTTTCCGTTTGCCCCAAGAGTAATGAAACAAAATTAACTTGGTAACATGGAAAAGCTGGGAGTTATTGGAAAGTTAGATCAACAGATAGGGTTAGTCAATTCTAACATTGCACTGGAACAGCCAAATAAAGTCTGGATATGCACCGAGTTATTTGATTTAAATCAAGCCATAAAATGTGAACATTAGCTGATGTAAGCTACAGAGGCCAGCAAATATCTCAGAGAAAAGGCAGTCTCACTATGTGATGCAGAACATGTTTTTTGTGTGTGTGTGTAGTAAAATTAGATTAGTTCAAGCTATAAGCTAGTGACTCCTTTGGAAGATATACATTTAAATGAGCACATTCCATTTTCAATTTGCCCCAAAAGCTTTTCAAAAAGCAATCCTACCGATTTTTGAAGGGTTGACAAGGTGCTGAATTATACTGGATGAAATTTTATAATATGAGCTAAGCAACATAAAGAACAAATTCTGAACAATTTTTGCAGATACCAGGAAAAAAGCCCTAACAGCAAACTTTAAAGTAAACAACTGGTCCAACAGAAGCTAACTCTGTAGGACCTAAAATGAGCAAATGTGGCTTAACTGAAGATTCAGATAAACAAAATAACAGTTGCAGGACACACTCCACAGTGAACTAAGGCACACATTTTTGTCAATGAGGGAAAGTAATTGTGGGAACATACCCCAAGCAGTGGTGGATTCTCAGTCTCTTGATGTCCTCGTATCAACTTGGGATGCCTTTCTGGAAGATCTGTTTTAGTCAAACACAAATTATTGGGCTCAATACGGGGGTCCCTGAATGAAATTCTATGGTCTGTGGTCACTCTAGATCAGTGTTTCTCAAAGTGTTCTGCAGGTCTGCTTTGGGAAAGCCACTAGCAGGCCCGTGCCCTGTTGTTTACCTAAAGGATACACTGAACCAACTCAGCTCTGGCAGAGATCAGTTCTAGGGCTGTGGACAGCAACCAAGAACCCAGACCCCAAAAGGGACCAAAACCCTAAATAAATTCATCTTATTCTATGTAAAAGTTCTACACAGAGAAAGCTCACAAGGTGTTTGATTCTTTAGCAATGAAAGAGGGATAGGCACAGTGGTTGCTCCCTCCTCCCCAGTAACAATTATTTACACTGGCCTGGATTATAAGCAAAAGTGTTTTTATTAAGTATAAAAAATAGGATTTAAGTGATTGCAAGTGAAAACAGACAGATCAAAGTAAGTTACTAAGCCAAAATAAACAAAACACATGTCAGCTAACCTGAATAGACTAGAGAAATTTTTTCAAAGTATATTCCTCACCCTTGTCCTTATTCCAAGTAAAATTCTTCAAGACAGAGCTGATCTTTTTTGCTGGCCTGGGTCCCACAGCTTTTTAGAGTTCTTTAAAGTTCATTGTTTTCAGGTTCCTTCATGTATATCCTCTTAAAGTGGGGAACAAATTTCAAACAGTCAGCTGAAGACTAGGGATGTTTAATTTCAAGTAACTGACTAATTGAATAGTTGATGCAATTTGCATCAACTATTCATTTAGTCCATAGGGCATCTCTGCCTTTGAAGTGTAGCAACAGTCCTAAGGCTGCTGCTACACTTCAAAGGTGAAAGCGCTGCAGGGAGCACAGGGCCGGTAGGGCAGTCCCCTACTGAACCCGTACTCCCCGTGCCATTTCAAAGTGGCAGGCTATAGCAGCCCACACCTGCAGCGCTGTGGGCCCAGGCAAAGCAGCCCCACCTGCAGTGCCACAGGCTCAGCTTGGCTTGGCTGGAACAGCCCACAATACAGAAGGCCTAGTGGAAGGCTGCTTCATCCAGACTCAGCGTACCACAGGCAAGGGGGATTCCAGTTAACCAACTAAAATTAATTTTTACCAGGTTAACTTTTTAAACAGGATTTTACTTCCCTAATCATATGTCTTTCAAGGACCTACCATGATTTGGGCATATAGGAAAAACAAACCCATTTACAGATCACTGTCTTGAGCACCAGGCCATTACGTTTCCTTAAATACCACTGATGGCTTTCACTAGAAGACTTACATTAATAAAGACAAGTTTACACTTTGCATTTCTAACTTCACGTATAAGAATGATACGTACACACAGTGGACACATTCTGCAGATTATAACTTTAAAAATTATGTCACAAGATGCATTTTGCCTAAAGCATCTTTGAGTTTTGCATATCCAATTCATAAGTCAATTTTCATAAAGGCTGGGGGGCATGACACTATGATTCTATGGGTAGGTCTACATTGCAATAAAAAACAGTGGCACTGAGTCTCAGAATCAGGGTCAATTGATTGGGCTCATGGGTTCAGGCTATGGAGTTAAAAATTGCAGTGCAGATGGTTGGCTCAGGCTAGATCCCAGACTCTGAGATCTAACCCCCAATGGGGCTTCAGACCATGGGCTCCAGCCCGAGCCCCGTGAGCCCAAGTCAGCTGATCTAGACCAGTCACATTGCAGTGCAGATGTACCTTTTAAGGGGATGATAAACTAGCAAAATAAATTTGAAAGTTACAGATGATTAAGGCTGCAAGTCAGTCATTGAGGTTACAGAAGTTACGGATTCCATGACTTTCCAGGACCTCCATGATTTCTGCAGTGGTAAGTACAACTGACCCCATGGCCAGCAACACTGGCTGTTGCTGGGGCAGTCTTGGGCCACACCTCATCCCCAGACCAGCAGTGGTCTTAACCCATGCGCCTCCAAGCACCAATAGCAGTCCCAAGCCACACATACCTCCTGAGCACCGGTGGGGGTGCTGGGCCATGTGCTGCACCTCCTCCCCCTACTACCCCAAAGCATCAGTGAAGGTCAGGAGCCTTGCATCCCCACCTTGAGCACCAGGGGTATCTAGTACAGTTATGGATAGGTCACAGGTTATGAATTTTGTTTGCTACCATGACTTTTACTAAAGATATCCAGACTAAATCTGAACCTTACAGATGATCAATACACTTTTAAGTGACCTGCTGGAAAAAATTGTATTCCTTGGCATTTGGGAAAATAGACAAAAACCTACGGTAATTCTTTGAAGGTCAGAAAAGGTCATGAGAAAATCTGTCAGTGACTGCAGAAGCATGACAGGAACTATTGTGGAATCATTACAGACACCAGAATTGCTGAAGCTGACAAGTCCAGGCATCTATGAAGCCAGAACGTAGTCAAGAGAAACTTTAACCATGATGCTCAGAGAAAATCTCCAGGATACTACTAGCAAGACTGAAATACAGTATAATGAACAATGACATGAATTTGGAAAATGTTACATCTATTTATCATGCATACTGGTTATTTCACTTTTGTTTTAGGAGTTCATGTTGCTAAACTGGGGTGTGTATGGGTGTGGAAGATAAACCTCACATGGGCCTGACTGTGCTATTGATAGGCCTCTCTACATACTCATTATGCACTATAAAATTCAAGAAGTATAACAGAAGTGCTGTGCCTTCTTTTCAATAAACCTGACTCTTGAATGCTCATTATTAACAAGTTTAGAACAGCGGGAACAATGCTCTGAGCCCATGGTGGTTCAGAGAAAAAAAGGAGGAAGTGCTGAGTTTGTCCACATTAGTCCTTTTGTTGGTAAAGTATTTTTTGCCAGGAAAAATAATGGAAGCAAACTTCTAGTGTCTTTTTTTTTTCCCACAAGGCCTGGAGAGTCCAGTTCCCCTTTCCCACATACCCCCTACTCTTTTTCTCTCATGTCACCTTATTGCTACTAGCATTAGCTAACAAAATAATGTTGTGACACCCTAGTCAAATGATGAGTACATGCAGAAGTCTCTGACATCAAGTCTTTGTCATTGGGTATTATCTATAAAGAAGTAAGATACCGACAAACATATTTGCTGGCAAGAGTCAATGAGGTGCCTTAGGAGCCAAGGCTGGGATTTGACCCAGACGTTATGGGTCTTGATCTGGAAAACCATGACACCAGGGTATTACTGTCATTATTTCCCCCAATGGCAGCACCCACAGGCCCTAACCCCCGGGTGGGTAAAAGCGCCTTCGCAGGCTGGATCCGGCCCGCCAAGTGGGTTCATCCGCCCGTGGGCGCCCTGCCGCTCCCCCCAGGCCAATTAGGGCCCGTGGGCGGGGAGGCATAAAAGTGTCCTGGCCCCGCCCCTTCTGCCTGAGGCCCCGCCCCTTCTGGGGCCACTTCAAAAAAAAATCTGAAGGTTGGGGGGAGGGGGGAGGAACAGCTTTGATTGGCCCAACTTTTGCCAGTACTTGGGGGGGGAGGGGGGAGAGAAGCAGCAGCTCCGCCCTGCGCCCCCACCCCGACAGAGC